CTCCATCCTGTGGTTTATTTTCTTTCAATGATCAATCAGGATAATTCATAGAAGAGGATCAGTTATTTGCGACCAGGTCATTACTCCAGGTTTGCAAAATAAGCTTCCTCTCTAGTACTTTTCCTGCAATATTTGTACATTGCCACTAGAGAGCAACAGCGTGCCTCAATCACATGGTTCAAAGAATTTTATGAGATCAGAATTACAAGCCTGAGTTTTCTAATGACCACAATCTGTCATTCTATTCTAAAAGAAAAACAAAGACTCCTTTCCATCTATTCAGTTTTTTTTCTGGGATCAAGGAGTTAAACAAAATTTAAGCACAGTGTCTCCTCTTAGAAACGCCCTTGACAACCTGCAACACTGACAAATTGTCTCTGATCCAAACTGCCTTCTTTTACAAAGCTTCCAGCTACAAATCCAAGCTGACAGCTGCATATCACCTTCAAAACAACAAGTTTAAGTGAGTTATTATTTGTAAAGGCCTTAGAAGAGTATCTAGCACATAGTGCTATACAAGTATCTGAGGTTTCCTTTTATTCACTTATTATAAATGTAAATTCATTCAAATGCTGTGGGAATGAGCAATGAATGAATCTTCTCTATGCTTGTTTACTTGTCTGCTCCCTGTGAATGGGGAAAGGGATGTCTATGGAGACAGGAGGTTGTCCCAAAGTTGGCCTAGCTTGGGCAGGGACTGATTTCCCTTCCCCTCTGACACCTCCATAGGGGAGATTCTGAAGCTCTTTCTGGTTCATCCATGGTCATCTGACTCAGAGCAGGGCCAAAGCTGCTAATACAGGGATCTCGGACAGGGTTTTTTTCCTCTTTCTTTCCTTCCCAAGTTAAGCCACGAAGAGCTGCTGGAGAAGCACAGCCCCGGTGAGTGCGATTGATTGAATTATCATAAGCAATAGGGGACAGAGGAGGGGGAGGCCACACAGGCCAGCCCATGGTTACTGTAATGGAGCTGCCATCTGCAGACAGACAGCAGCATATCAGGCCTGGCAGAGACGGTCAGGATGACAGGCATCCTGGGAGCCACCTCAGGGAACTGCTGGCACCCCTGGGTCCTCGGGATACTACTAATGATGGTGACAATAGGGACTGCGGTTAACTGAGCACCTTCTGTGGGACAAGCACATTTCATCCTCTAGCATCTAAATGGGTATGACTGTGCCCACTTTTCAGAAGGGACAACTGACCAAGCGCCAGATGACTCACTCAAGGTCACACAGCTTGTGAAGTGAAGAACCTGGATGGGGCCAGGTCTGTCTAGCCGCCATGTTCCCTCCCATAGCTGGTTTTTCTTACCATCCGTACCCAGAATCCTCTGGCCCTGCTGGTCTGACCCATCCTTCCTCCTCTCCCAGGATGCCTCCCCCAGGAGGTCCTCGCTTGCCCCCTGGTGTCTGAGGGTCACCCCTTTCTCCTCAGGACCCACAGGCTCGGCTGTACTTCCTAGAGGGTTCTGGGGAGCTGAATCCCATAGGCTCTTTGCTGACATCTTCGCTCCAGGCACAGACTGACAAGGCCTGATGGCTGGGTCCACAGAGAAGTTTCCCAAAGGGAGCACTGTGGCCTAAGAGTGTGTGAGCAGGCGTGCTGGCAGAAGCTGACTTGTCAGGGGCCTGTAGAGCACAGGAGGACTGGGGGCCTGACCCAGGGGCTGCCAGAAGAGAGAGAGATGAGAGGCAGGCCCTCAAGGACAAGACTTGAGAGGGTTTCAGGGAAGGAGCGGCTTGTGGGGCAGGCAGAGAGCCTGATTGTCACACTTCAGGAGGGAAGCCAGGTGGGCTTGAAGCCAGAAACAGTCAAGTTGTGAATGTGAGAGGAAGCAGGGAGGAAAGGCACTAGGGCATCAACACATGTGATGGGGCAGTCCTACCCCGGAGGGTCCCCCCAGCCTCAGGAAGCAGCAGGGCAGCCCACAGGATGAGGCTGGCTGAACCACAGAGCTGGGGAGCCTCCCATGGGTGACTGACTGTCTCAGGGTCTATGGAGCCCCCAGCACAGTTCAGAGTCTGCCCCTCCCATCTCATTCCAGGCACTAAGCAGGGCACAGGCCAGCCAGCCAGTGGCACTGCCCATTTGAGAGAGTCCTTCCACCTTGCCCAGCTGTGCTTTTCAGGAAAGGTGACACCTGTGGCTGGACTCCTTCCTCTAGGCTCTCCCCTTAACTCCTCCCTGTGAAACAAGAGGGGATGCCTACATGCAACCCAGGGTTGCCTGGACCCAGCCCTGCTGTGGTATCTGTGCGGTGGGTACAGAGTAGGGTGAACCCCAAATGCCCACTCCAGGGCAGGGAGTGGGGAGAGACCGTGCATGACCTGTGTGGAAGAGGGTGCCCGCATGCAACTGGTGAGTATGTATGCGAGTGACAACTGGTGACAGTGAGACCCATCACCGGGTGCCTATGTGTGGGTGAGGGTGTCCACGTGTGCGAGTGTGCGCCTGTGCGTGAGACTCTGTGTGTGACTGTGTGTGGAGTTGCAGAATGGTGCTGAGTGTGAGGTTAGGAAGAAAAAGAGACCTTCACAGACGGAACCAAAGAGGTACTGAGGCCAAAAGAAACATTTGGAGAGAGGCCCTGGAGAGAGGCCAGAGGGAGAGAGCGGCCAGAGGGAGAGAGCGGCCAGAAGGGGAGAGAGTGGCCAGAGGGGGAGAGAGGCCACAGGGGGAAGAGAGGCCAGAGGGGGAGAGAGGCCAGAGGGGGAGAGAGGCCACAGTGGGAGAGAGGCCAGAGGGGGAGAGTGGCCAGAGAGGGAGAGAGGCCAGAGGGGGAGAGAGGCCAGAGGGGGAGAGAGGCCACAGGGGGAGAGAGGCCAGAGGGGGAGAGAGGCCACAGGGGGAAGAGAGGCCAGAGGGGGAAGAGAGGCCAGAGGGGGAGAGGCCACAGGGGGAAGAGAGGCCAGAGGGGGAGAGAGGCCAGAGGGGGAGAGAGGCCAGAGGGGGAGAGAGGCCAGAGGGGGAGAGAGGCCACAGGGGGAGAGAGGCCACAGGGGGAGAGAGGCCAGAGAGGGAGAGAGGCCAGAGGGGGAGAGAGGCCAGAGGGGGAGAGAGGCCAGAGAGGGAGAGAGGCCAGAGGGGGAGAGAAGCCACAGGGAGAGAGAGGCCAGAGGGGGAGAGAGGCCAGAGGGGGAGAGAGGCCACAGTGGGAGAGAGGCCAGAGGGGGAGAGTGGCCAGAGGGGGAGAGAGGCCAGAGAGGGAGAGAGGCCAGAGGGGGAGAGAGGCCAGAGAGGGAGAGAGGCCAGAGGGGGAGAGAGGCCAGAGGGGGAGAGAGGCCACAGGGGGAGAGAAGCCACAGGGGGAGAGAGGCCAGAGAGGGAGAGAGGCCAGAGGGGGAGAGAGGCCAGAGGGGGAGAGAGGCCACAGGGGGAGAGAGGCCAGAGGGGGAGAGAGGCCAGAGGGGAAGAGAGGAGGCCAGAGGGGGAGAGTGGCTAGAGAGGGAGAGAGGCCAGAGCGGGAGAGAAGCCACAGGGGGAGAGAGGCCACAGGGGGAGAGAGGCCACAGGGGGAGAGAGGCCACAGGGGGAGAGAGGCCAGAGGGGGAGAGAGGCCAGAGAGGGAGAGAGGCCACAGGGGGAGAGAGGCCACAGGGGGAGAGAGGCCACAGGGGGAGAGAGGCCACAGGGGGAGAGAAGCCACAGGGGGAGAGAGGCCAGAGGGGGAGAGAGGCCAGAGAGGGAGAGAGGCCACAGGGGGAGAGAGGCCACAGGGGGAGAGAGGCCAGAGGGGGAGACAGGCCAGAGGCCAGGAAGCCCGAAAGAGATGTGTAGAGAGGGAGAGAAGAGATAGAAACAGAGACACTGAGGTGAGGAGGAGAAATGCAGAAAGAAGAGAGATGTAGCAGAGAGGTCAGAGTCACCTGCACTGCTCCCTGGATGGGGACCTCTCCGATGGCTTTGGAAGGTCCACCTGACAGTGAGACCCATCACCGCAACTCCAGGCCTGTGGGACTCTCTCTGGCTCCACACTTTAGCCTTGGTCCCTCGTAAGTGGCCAGGCCTGTGGGACTCTCTCTGGCTCCACACTTTAGCCTTGGTCCCTCGTAAGTGGCAAGGGGCAGGGAAGCCGAGGGAGAGGGGAGAGGGCAGTGTGTGTGGATGGTTTTGGTGACAGGGCCAGTGAGTGGGAACCATGAGCCTGACCTCCTTGCTGTCCCTTCCCTTCCCCACCCTCAGTCCTTCCAGAGACCACAGACAGCACTCCCCTTGCCAAAAACCAATCCTGACATGACATCCTTCTTCTGCTGAACAAAGTCTAATTTACTTGGGGAAAAAATCCTTCTGTGGCCCCCAAATCAAATCACTCACCGAGGGAATGGGGTTGAAAGGAACCGGGGGAAATAAATGTATTCGGCAAGTGTATTTTTATTCCAATAAAACTTGATTCAATAACTCCCATGAATGTTTCATTTGCAAGAGGCTGCCCCCTCCTGCGGCCGTGCTGGTCTCAGGCCAATTTTGCCCTCCCTCCCCTGGGGTGGCGCAAGCCTCTACTCCAGGAACCCAGCAGCTGTGAGGGAGGCTGGGGAAATGCAGGCCCCTTCTAGCCCCTCAGCCAGCAGCAGACCCGCTCCTCCAGGGGGCTTGGCACTGTTTCCGGAATGGTGCTGAGAGCTTGGGATGGAGAACTGGGTTGGAATACTGCCTGCTGGGTGACCTTGGGTATGCACCCTCACTCTGAGTCTGTTTCTTCTCCCCGTCTTATGACATTCTTACGAGGATCAATAAAGACACAATGTGAAAAACCTCATCTGCATCACTTATATCATCTTTCCCAGGGACTCAGAGCCAGAGTGTGGGTTATCCAGGAACTTTTATCCCTCCAACAAGCTACCCGCTTCTGGCTCTGGGCTTGTCAGCTATTTCCACCTCTACCCCTTTCCCTGCCCATTCCAAGACGGCTCATGGCCATTCCGGCAAGCACACGGAGGTGGGGCTGTGACAGAGCTAAACTGGGGAGGGATAACAGGCAGTCATTGTTTTGTCAGCATACAGGCACCACCCCCAGCTCAGGTCCTGTAGGCAGAAGGCAGGAGGCTGATTCTACTCTTGGAAAGCACGTGGCCCCAGCCCCTAGGATTAGATCTTTCAATTTCCTGCTCACAATGATTGGTTCTGGAATAGGCATGTGACCCAATCTGGCCAATGGGATTCAATCCCGGGACACTTACAGGAACTGGGTAAGTAGGGCATTCTCTTCCACTTGGGCGTTAGTTAGGCTGGGAGAATGTGGCCCTGGAGCTGCTGGTGTCTGTCTCTGCTATTACTTGGGAAGAGAAGACTTCAGAATGAAGCCAACACAAAGGGAAACAGAGGCAAGGTACAGATAGATTGCTGACGTCATTTGAGCCCGTGACGTGGCTGGGCCTGAAGCAACGTCCACCTCTGTTCTTTCCAGTTACAAGAGGCAATAAATCCCCTTTTCTGCCTAAACCTTAGGTTGGGTTTCTGTCTTTTGCAATAAAGAGTACTGTATAATGGTATCGGAAGCCTGTCTTTCCAATTCACTAATGAAATCTTTCTTCCTCCCCAGGGAAACGTCAGGGGACAGAGTCGCATTAGAATGGAAGAAATGACGGGACTTCCTGATGGCTGGTCCCAGTTCCCTCACTCCTGGAGATACCTTTAACAATTCCAATGCTGGCCAGGCGCAGGGGCTCACACCTGTAATCCCAGTACTTTGGGAGGCTGAGGTGGGTGGATCACGAGGTCAGGAGTTTGAGAGCAGCCTGACCAACATGGTGAAACCCCATCTCTACAAAAATACAAAAATTAACCAAGAGTGGTGGTGGGCGCCTGTCGTCCCAGCTACTGGGGAGGCTGAGGCAGGAGAATCGTTGAACCTGGGAGGTGAAAGCTGTAGTCAGTTGAGATTGCGCCACTGCACTCCAGCCCGGCAACAGAGTGAGACTCCATTTCAAAAAAAAAATTCCAGTGCCATCAGAGGCAATGATGTTGGGTCCCCACATTGTCCAGGAAGGCAATGGTCCTGAGAAATTCTCAACCTCTCTTGGGGAGGTGGGGCAGGGCTCTGCAGGGACAACGCTTAGGTAGCCCACCCCACTCCTGTTGCTTGATATTGTCATAAGTCAATCATCAATTACTCAACAAAAGTGTAGAGGAAGATTGGGCTCAGGATCAGGAAGCCACGGGCAGGCCGTATGTTCCTCTCAGCCTCAGTTTCCCTGTCAGTGAGACGAGAAGCTTCGACAAGATGAACTTAAACGCAGCCCCATCATCTTTTATACGTATGAGTCTTTTTTCTGTTTTAGACACTTGGAATAAAAAGGAATCTTAACCCTACAATCTCTTTGGGAATAGAAGACATTCTATAAATAATGCTGTCTTGAAGGTGAAGTCTGCAATAGAGGAGAATTGGCCAGGGTGGTCTACAAGCGCCTTCCTGGCTCTGAAAATCTGAGAAGGAAAAAAAAGACAGAAATTCAGCGCCCAGTGCCTGGGGCTAAAGCCCAAATGCTTTTCTACAAGAGGTTTTGGGTCTGGAGGAGTCTCCCAGATGCCCCTGCCCTTCCATGTTGGTTTGGCAAAGTGTGGAACTAAGACCCAGGTGGGTTGGTGTGAGCTGGACATCTCAGGAGCGGGAGGGAGCAGAGAGGGCGGGGGGAAGAGTGGCACTTGTGGGGAATTCCTCCTGCTCTCTGTTCGCTATTTTTTCCACTTGCAAGAGTTTGCAAATTTCAAAGTGGTTTCTGGCAAGAGAACAAAATGTCTCTCCAGAATTCAAGGATGACTTGTGGCTGGAGCTGGGGGACATGGCAGTCCAGGGAAGGGCTGGCAGTGGGAAGAACAGGCCATATGAGAGCTCTTGGGTCCCCTGGGATTAAGCGGATGGGCATGATCAGGAGGCTCTGTCTAGCCAGGCAGGTGGTGGGTCTGGAGGCTCCACAAGGTCTAGGAATAAGGATATAAAGATCCCTGCAATGAGAACAGAGTCATGGATGGCTGAGCTCAGGGCTCCTTCCCACATGCAGGCAGAGCCTGGACAGGCAGCCAGGACAGGTGTGGACCCTCAGGTCTGCTGGCAATTGTATCAGATGAGCTCTTGGCTCCATGTAAGGTGGTGTAGTCACTTCCTGTGAAGGGTGCCCAGTGTGACCTCTGGGCCTACCTGCCGTGCTGATGGTCACGCCCAGTGTGACCTCTGGGCCTATCTGCAGTGCTGATGGTCACGCCCAGTGTGACCTCTGGGCCTACCTGCCGTGCTGATGGTCACGCCCAGTGTGACCTCTGGGCCTACCTGCCGTGCTGATGGTCACGCCCAGTGTGACCTCTGGGCCTACCTGCCGTGCTGATGGTCACGCCCAGTGTGACCTCTGGGCCTATCTGCCGTGCTGATGGTCATGCCCAGTGGTCTCAGGCAGCTGTGCCTTCACCACACTGCTAGGTCTCAGACGTCTTTAAGGATCTGATGAGTGTGGACTGTCTCTACCAAAATTTGCACACATGCCCGCATGCACACACATGATTTTGCACAGAATTTCAAGGAGTTCACAGTCATACTGCGGCCCAGTGCATGCACTCCAGGCTAAGCATTTCTGTTTGGGCCCAGCACTTTGGGATGCTGAGGCAGATGAGTAACTTGAGGTCAGTAGTTTGGACCAGCCTGGGAAGTATAGTGGGACCCTGTCTCTACAAAAATAATTTTTTTTAATCAGCTGAGATATGGTGGTGCATACCTATAGTTCTAGCTACTCAGGAAGATGAGGTGGGAGGATCTCTTGAGCCTGGTGTTGGGGGTGGCGAGTGGGGGTCAAGCCTGCAGTGAATTGTGTTCCCACCACTGCACTCCAGCCTGGGCAACAGATCAAGACCCTGCCTAAAAAAAATAATAATAATAAAATTGGCTGGAGCAGTGGCTCATGACTTTACGTAATCCTAGCACTTTTGGAAGCCGAGGGGGGTTGATTACTTGAGGTCAGGAGTTTGAGACCAGCCTGACCAACATGGTGAAACCCCATCTCTACTAAAAATACAAAAATTAGCCAGGTATGTTGGTGGGCACCTATAATCCCAGCTACTCAGGAGGCTGAGGCAGAATTGCTTGAACCCGGGAGGCAGAGGTTGCAATGAGCCAAGATCCTCCCACTGCGTTCCAGCCTGGGCAACAAAGCGAGACTCCATATCAAAAAAATTGTTTGAAGTTCTAGGTCCCTTTGGGCTCAGAGAAAAGCCCAGATGGAGATTCTACCCTTTCACCATCCTCTGAGTAGAGGCCAGTGGCAGCTGCTTCTTGCTCTGAATTCCAGGGTGCAGTAAAGTGCCCATCAGCTCAGGGCCTGGGGCTGGAGCCTGCCTGGAAGAAGCACAGCTATACCCACGAGAGCCTCTAAACATGGCCCTGCAGGGTAACCCAGTCTGTTGGAGGCCCAGCTGGTGCTAGAGGCTGGAACCATGTGCCCCAGCCACATGCAGACCCAGTGAAAAGGCAGATGAATGGATGGTCAGGTGTGAGGAGGCCAGCCAAGGCACCCTGCCAGGGAACACAAGGCATCTGTGTGGCTTTGTAAGGCACTTTATGAATCCCTCCTAGCTGGCCTTTTTGAACGGAGACGCTTCTGAAAGACTCACAGCCCCAGCCGCAAAAAGGCTCCTCTGTCTTTGCTCGTTGCAGAGTCTGCAGAGACCTGAGTGGGCTCGGCGTGGCCATGTGTGTGTGCAGAAGAAAGGCCACTGGATCAATGGGCTGGATTACAGACGCTGCTGCCATGGGCTGATAATTGCGGTGAAGCACCAGTTGCTCAGACCAAATGTCCTTCCCCTGCACTGTGGGAGAGTGCCAATCACAGGGGATTAAAACCAGCTGGGGCACGGCCCTGCGGAGAAAGACTTGAGGCTAGGCTGGCAGCCAAGAAATGGGGTTTGGGATGGTGAAGTGGGAGGAGGGGAGCATACATGGCTGCCCGTGGTAGGCTGAGGCTGGGACCAGGGCAGGGGGAGGCTGAGACAGAGGGGATGGAGGGCACCAGCAAAAACCAGGTGGGTGAGCTGGGAAGCGGGAAAGAACTGCAGGCTCAGGGCGGGGCTGGCTTATTGGGGGAGCCCAGAGCCGAGTGAGGAGCCAGACTCCAGATCTTGCTGACCCAGCAGTCTCTCCACTCCTGGTACCCAAAACAGAAGCTGGAAGAATTTTAAAAGCCACAAAGGCCTCTGTTTAGAGTTCAGGTGCTTTGTGGAACACAGCTGCCCAGAACATGTCCCTCCATGGGGGCAGCCTCACTCATCAGCTTTGGAATTCTGAACTGCAGTCAGCCCTGGGGCTCCCAGGGGTGCCCTCACACCCTCTCTCTCACCTGACCTTCATTCAAGCCTGAAAGGTGGGGATGTTACGGTTAGAATCTCGCAGGGGGAGGACACTGAGGTCTGGAAAGAAGTGACTTTCCCAAAGTCCCACTGCTGGCCAGAGGCACTTCCATCAGCTTCCGTTTCCTCGTGTGGGAAACAGATGTGCTAATATCCACTTCAAAGAAGTAGTAATAACACATTTACTACATGTCAGGCACTGTGTTAGGGCTTTAACATGCACTAAGTTGTGGGGTCATTTCCAAAATGTTGTAAGGCTGGTAATATTGCCCCATTCTGCAGATGTGTAAACTGTGGCTCCAAGAGGTGAAATAACTCATTCAAGGTCACTGTATAAGTGGCCAGGCCAGGATCAAAACCCTGGTGGCTCTGGCTTTGGAGCTTGTGAAAATCAAATGTGAAGGGGCTCTGTAAAGTGCTTTGTGGGTGGTAATTATCAGGAAGAGGGCAGGGGCAGGGGCAGGGGCACTGTGGGCGCAGGGAGAGGAGGATAAGCAGGATCTCAGTCCCTCCCAGTTCAGCTAAGAGAGGCCAGAGGTGAACTGGGTCCTGCTGAAGGTGGACTGGGCACCCATTTGGGTGAAGTGGGGGCTGTGGTGTCTGTTGGCTGGGGGAGCATGGCTTTGAGCCTCCCCCATCCCTGCTAATGGCCTTCAGAGGAAATCATCTGCACGAGATCAAAGCTGGCCTGGAGTGAGCCCCTCTCTGGATAATGAAGATGAATTCTGGCCAGGTCTGCCCAGAAAGAATGTTAACTAAATGAAGATGACAGTGCAGTGACTGTGGAGTTTGTATCAGGGCCAAATTGAACTCTCTCTTCCAGCAAGTCTATGCAAAGCCTGGGCCAGTGCCCAAGAGAGGGGAAAACACACACATGCATTCTCCTCTCCTTGCCCCCTCCTTGAAGTCCCCTGCCACTGGCAGCCACCCAAGAGAGGTGCTGGTCCCATGCTGATTCCTGTGTGGGGGGCTCCATGCGGCCCACTCTTGCTTGGTTTATTGAAACTCATGCTGGGCCCCTTGTCAGCCTAGAGGCAGGAAGGAAGGAGGGGGACCGGCTGGAGAAAGCTCAAATGGGAGGGACTTGATGCAAGGAGGTCCACTACCTCTCCTATCTTTACCCTGAGGACAAGGGTAGCACAATAGAGTCAGACCTGGGTTCAAATCCTAGTGCAAGGTTCTTTAAACTGACTGAACCATGGACTACACCATAGTCAAGCCATGGTGACCCCTGTGACCCACATGTACACCTCCAGATGGTCTCCTGGAGCCAGAAAGTGTAAGATAACAGAAAAACAGCAAAAGGAGAAGAACAGCTTGCTCCTGCAGTGTCTGATTAACCGACCCTATGACATTCCACCATTGTTCCTGCCTCAACTGATAAGTCAACCTTGTGGCACTGAACCCTGTGGCCTGATTAATTGACCTTGTGACATTCTACCACTGTTCCTGCCTCAACTGATCAGTCAAACTTGTGACACCGGACCCTGTGACACCACACCCCCAGCCTGCAAAAAAAAACACCCTAAACTGTAACTTTCCATTACCTATGCCCAGCCTATAAAACCAGCTCCTATCCTACCACCCTCTGCTGACTCTCTTTTTGGACTCAGCATGCTTGCACCCAAATGAATAAAAAAACCTTGCTGCTCACACAAAGCCTGTTTAAGTGGTCTCTTCAGTGTGTGCTTAAAAGTCAACTGACCTTGAGCTAAAACCTAAAAATCTCCAGGCCTCAATTTTTAAATCTATAATTGGAAATGATGATGAAACCTGCCACCCAGATCCACTCCTGTTAGTGTTTTGAGTCCTTAGGAATGGACCATACCTCCTTTTCCTGCAGGCCTCTCAGGGCATTCCCCTGTCTCTTAGTTTGTTCAGGCTCCCCGAAGACTGAGTTTGGGTTTGCAGACTCACACTTTTGTGAACTTCTAACCCAGATCCAAGCTTCCCAAGCTCTGGGGCCCAGCATCTCTAAACCCCACAATGATGGGGAATTTCTGGCCCACCTATATCCTGAAGATGACAATTAACAAGGCCTCCCAACTGTACAGCATTGAAAACTTAAAAGGAGAGAAGGGCAGGGGAGTCAGGAGAGAAAGGGCTGACCAGCATCAGTGAGAACCTTCTGGACTAGGGGTTCCTCACCTGGGTGACACATTAGACTTACCTGGGGAACTTTAAAAACCTCAATGCCTGCTATAACAGACTACCTGAGACTGGGGGGAAAAAAAATCTCAATGCCAAAGCCCCACTCCAGAATGTGATTCAGATCTCCAGAGATGGAGCCTGACAGGGGAATCCCCCTGCCAGGTCCCCCGCACCCTCGCCCCGCTTCCCCAAAGCTCCCCAGGTGATTCTAATGTGCAGCCAGTAATGCAGAAGCTGTGTAGAGAAAAGGCTTTCCGAACTTTAATGTGCGTGAGAACCACCTGGGAGGTCTTGTTAAAATGAAAATTCTGATTCAGGGGTTCTGGGGAGAGGCCTGACACTGTGTATTGCTAACCAGCTCAAGGTGGTGCTGATGCTGCAGGTCAGGGGACCACACTTTGAGTAGCACTGCTTGATGACGGGACCACGGCTTTATCATCTTTGTTCACTGCCAGCTCTGAGGCTTCTCAGGAAACGCTCCTGGAATGAATGCACATGTAACTGAGACAGCGCAGGATGTGGAGCCTGATGACCGGTATTTGAAGCCTAGCATTATTGCTCTAGCTATGTGGATTTAGGCAACGTACTTATCAGCTGCGGCCTCAGGATCTGCTTCTGTAAAACAGGTATGCTTTTACTGCCTCAAGAGCCTTATAGAATCACTGGGAGAATAAAATGGTATCATTTATATGAAATGTAAATAGAAAATATCCCTTTTTTCTTCTTTTAGGAAGACACATATCCCTCCCGCAGTGATGTCCTGGTACCTCTGATCTGCCTGATTATCTCTGGCAGCCCTCATGCACCAGCACTCTCAGGCCTGAAATCCAGTGGGCACTGGACATGCTAGCTATGGAGACCCTCCTGGGTCTCCCCACCAAGCTCCAGGGCCCTGGCCAGGCCAGCAAGCTGACTTAGAAACAAACACACTTCCAGACTGACTAGCACACAAAGATGCAGAAGACCCAGGTTCAAATCCTGACTCAGCCCCTTCCAGCCACAGGCTGAGTCCACACTAGGGTTCCAAATAGCTCTTGTAAACAACTAGCCTCCAAACCACCCTCCTCTGAGGCAGCGCTGGGCTGTGGTGCCTGGGTACCAGTGACCACGTCAAGCTGACCCCACTGGCAGAAACCATCCCACGCAGACAGGGTCCTATGATAAGGCAGGGCCACCTGGAACACATTGTGCTCCATCTCTGTGCACCATACCATTTGTTGAGATATAACGGGTGCCATGCATTCTTCCCGCTCATAGCTTCCCCCTCTGCCACACTGCGGGTCCGCTTCTTGTTCTATCGCACCCTATCTCTGGGCTGCGACTCGGGCAGCGCCTCAGAACCTCCCGAGGAGTCTGGAGCTTCAGATCCGCGTCCCTTCCTTGATGATTCGGATTTAGCAGATCTTGGATGGGGGTGGCAAGAATCTAACTTCCCTTTTTCAGCTCCCAATGGTTCCGACGTGTGATCAGGGCTAAGGGCCACTGCCCTCTATGCCCTCCTCCCGCTGGCCTGACGTCGTCTCGAGAGGACTGGGCTTAGGATCAGAAGCCCCAGACTCATGTTCTGACTCTGCACCTTAAGCTGTGACCAAATGGGAGTCATTTAACAGACTTGGGCCTCAGCTTCCTCATCTGCAAAATGAGGATAGTGAAGACAATTGTCTTGGAGGAATATTCAGGGTCAAAAAAGACCGGCTGGGCGCGGTGGCTCACACCTGTAATCCCAGCACTATGAGGGACCAAGGTGGGTGGGTCATGAGGTCAGTAGTTTAAGACCAGCCTGGCCAAGATGGTGAAACCCCATTTCTACTAAAAATACAAAAATTAGCCAGGCATGGTGGCGGGTGCCTATAATCCCAGCTGCGTGGGAGGCTGAGGCAGAGAAGCACTTGAACACGGAAGGCAGAGGTTGCAGTAAGCCAAGATCACGCCACTGTACTCCAGCCTGGGCAACAGAGCAAGATTCCATCTCAAAAAAAAAAAAAAAAGATCGAGAGGAAAACCGTCTGACAAGATGGACGTACTAAACAGATGCAAGGTCTCTAACAACTGTGACGTCAGCATACCCACCAGGCTCCTGTCCCTGCCTCAGCTGCCTCTTACTGGGTGCGGTAAGATATCTCTGTACCCCGTCTCCTCTTCCTGGCAGTCAGTTGTGTCCATGTTTATACTGGACTGTGAGCTTGAGGACAGAGACCTCACCTCATCTCTGCAGCACCTAGCACAGACCCTGCCACACAGTAAGTATCCACTAAAGGCCTTTCATAACACAGAAAATGTCTGTCCTTGCTAGAAACCCAATAAATGCAAATTAACACAACACGGAGGTCCTATTTTACACTCCCTAGATTAGCAATTTAGGGAAACAAATGATAACATGCACCACTGACAATGTTATATCGAAGCTGGTACACACATTACTGATGATGTTGAAAACAGGAATGATAGAATGATCATTTTGGGAAGCAATATGGCAATATATCAAGGGTCATAAAATGCTCATTCACTTTGACCCGGTAATCCCACTCATAATGTTGTATCCAGTGGAAATCATTCAAAAGAACAAGTATTTATATGCATGAAGGTATTCATTGCAACATTACAATGCCCCCAAATGGAAAACAACCCAAATGGTCAACAACAGGGGAATTGTTGAGTAAATAACGGTATATAAACCCAATGAACTATTATGTAGCCATTTAAAATATTTATGAAAACTATGTTATGTTGAAGAAATGCTTATGGTAAAATGTGAAATAAAAAACAATGTAAAATTACATGTGCATTATAACTACGTAATAAAAATGCTGACAAGGATCAGAAAGGACTATGCAAAATGAAATTACTGTGTTAAGGTGGCAGGACTCCAGGTGATTTATTTTTGTTTTCAAACACTTCCTGTAATTTAGTTCTAATGCCATTTTCGCAATGCAAAAGTTAGGTATCCAAATAATAAATGTTTGTCAAATGAATACAAGGAGAGGAAGAGAGAAGAGGGGAGAAGGGTGAAGTTTGGGGGGCTCTGAATCCATCCCTGCCTCTATCCCAGAGTATCTTGAAAGAGATGCTGAAATGAACAGTTGGATTCTGGATGGAGCTTAGCCTTAGAGAAGTGCCACGAGGCAAACAGAATTGCCTTTTTTGGGGGGTGCCCTCAAATGATTCTGGGTACTTGTGGGAAGAGGCTGGATTTTCTCAGAAGCCCATGCTGCCCTGTGGTGTTCTGATGGGGGTTGAGCCAAGGAGGTGTCCAGAGGATGTTCACATTCAAGGGCCTCGTGGCCTTCGAGGTCTTCTCTGCTGGAGCCTTGCAGCAGAGAAGGAGGGAGGCTGAGCCTGGGTGAGGAATGAGAAACCTTCCTCTTCATACTGCCTATCCTGACCTCTAAGCCTTTGGAAACTATACATCCTGTGTGCCTGAGACAGTCCCAGTTTTTACCTGCTGGTGTGACATAATTATTAATAGCCCTCTTTAGTCTCAAAAGTGTCCCACTTGGGACATGGTCACATTACTCAAACCTCTTTACAGCAGGAAAAGAGGAGAGGAAACCTGCTCTGTAACTGATGAACGGTGGTGTGACAGTGGGGTCTTTCTCCTGGGGGGCCCAGACCCAGAGATGTCAAGAATTGCTCTAGGTGGGCTCTGGGCTACCTGCCCTCCACTCATGACTTTCATGAATTATCTTTGTGCTGGGGGCTGAGTGGGGACCTCCATGCCTTCCTCTCCCCCTCCCTCCCAGGCCTTCCTCTTTGTTTTTAAACATTTCCTGTAATTTTGTTATAATGCCATTTTCACAATGTAAAAGTTAGGTAGCCAAATACTAAATGATTGTTAAAAGAATATGGGGGGGGCGGGAGAGGAGAGAGAGAGAGAGAGAGAGAGAGAGGGAGAGAGAGAGAGGGAGGGAGGGAGGGAGGGAGGGGAGAAGGGTGATGTTTGAGGGGCTCTGAATCCATCCCTGTCTCTATCCCAGGGTATCTCGAGACAGATGCTCAAATGAACAGCTGGATTATGGATGGAGTTTAGCCTTAGAGAAGTACAAACAGGCAAACAGAGTTGCCTTGTTTTTGGGGGGTGTCCTCAAATGGTTCTGGATACTTTTGGGGAGAGACAGATCCAACATCAACACCCCTCCTGGCTGGGACTTCCTGCCTCCACTGTACCTATTCCTTCCTGCGCTCCTCTAGGCTGAGCTGTCCCTTTCCCTCCTCTGGTAACAGATATTTTCAGTTTTAAACAAGTATTTCTCCTTGTCTCCCCGGCACCAGCTCATCCTCTGCTGAGGCAGTCCAACTCCATTCTCTATTCCTGGGGACATTTTTCATCCGTCCTTTCTCCAACCAATGTTATCTCAGCGCTAAGCGGGATCATAATTCTGCCCAATGTCACGGGAATTCTCAGCAATCTTGCTTCTGACAGTGATAAAGTCCTTCAGACTCAGACACCTGAGCACACACAGACAGATACAGACACGACTTTTCATGTGCCCAGGCCACATGTCTGCAATTCACATGCTATGTACATGCCACATGCAAAATGGCAGGTATTCACATGACACATCCAGCCCACACCACATTTCCACATCACACGCAGTATACATATACCAAAAGCTTCACAGGTAATGTCCACCCTCCATTGACTTGTGCTATGACATAGAAGACACACGACATATCCCATACATGTCGTATACATGCCTCAGACCACACATCCATTACACACCTCACTCACACACACACCCCTCAACCTTTTTTTCTTTTTTGAGATGAAATCTTGCCCTGCTGCCCAGGCTGCAGTGCAGTGGCTTGATCTTGGCTCACTGAAACCTCCACCTCCCGAGTTCAAGCGATTTCCTGCCTCAGCCTCCGGAGTAGCTGGAGGCAGGCACAACCATGCCCAGCTAATTTTCATATTTTTAGTAGAGACAGGGTTTCGTCATGTTGGCCAGGCTGGTCTCGAACTCCTGACCTCAGGTGATCCACCTATCTCGACCTCCCAAAGTGCTGGGATTACAGGTGTGAGCCACCTCACCCAGCCACCCCTCAACCTTATATACAGGCTTTGAGGCCCCTGCAGTGTCAAGATCCTGCTCAGGGAAAATGTTTAATTCCTACCACAGAGGCCATGTCCCCCCACCAAGCTGCACAAGGATTTCGGCAAGGAACATTCATTACTGCTAACGAGCATTACATGCCTAATTAATTCCCAGGCTTGGTCTGAGCATTCAACCTGGGGCCTGATTTCCATTCAGGGAAAAATAAAAGGGAAATGTAAAAGGGCTCATGTGCTGTTTAGCAAGATTTAGATCCTGCCTGCACTTGCCCATTCTGTCCCCAAATCCCAAACCACTGGGATTATCAGTCTGATAGGAGAAAAGTAAATAACCCTGTCCCAGTGGAGAGAAGCAGGGTTTCCTTTCTGAAGCATCAGGACCAAATTCCCTCTTTTGATGGGTCTGCATTCTATCCAAGTAAAGGTCCCTTCCCTTTTCCCAGGAAGCACAGCCCATCCTTGGTTCTCACTAATTAACATTTGGTATGCCCCAGTGTGTGTTCCTAGATGTTTGGCTGATTTGCTCATTGGCACAGCCAGGACCTTCTATACCCAGGCTGGTTTCCCTCTGTGAGATACTGCATAGAATATGCAAGGATGTCGCCTTGGTC